CAAACACTTAAATAATTGCAGCCTCAACGTTTTTACAAGCATTTATTACATGAAGGTGCTTAGTGCAACACCTGAAATATAAGAACTCAACAAATTATAGAGACATTACTTGATAAATAAATACACAAATATTTTTATATACATTTATATTTCATTTCTCATATGTTTATATTTATATTTCATTTAAGCATATTATATATGTGGATACATATATACATATGTGTATAGGTAGGTAGACGATAGAGAGAGATAGGCAGACAGACATATAACATGTTATTTTTTAGTTTTTAAATCATAGGCTCTCATATATTGGGGAAGGGGAAATGCTTGTCTAGGAAGGCTGGCTATATACAATAGAGTTCTGCTTTTTTTGAACACATTCTAAAAAATTTTATTTTACAGTCCACAAAAGAACCAGGTAGATGTTATAACCAATTTAAAAGAGAATTGTTAAATGAACACACAGGACAGGAATATTGAAATGAATATGCAAAACTAAGAAGTCAATTGAAGATATACTTGAAGGGACAACATTTCCATTACTATCACTCTGCTACATCTTACATAGTTGTAAAACAGCTTCCGTAGAACAGATAGACTAAAGAGGTTTGCCCTAGTATATAAATAATGAATAGTTTTCTATTAATGCCCAAAACTGTCCTATACACACAAGGCCACTAAAATGTAAAGTCTGTATTTTCTGTTATGTAACTATAAGGTAAATCTGACTTTTTTCAAGTATAATAAAATACACAAAGGGTACATAATTAGAATAACTCTAAATTAAAGTGTTATGGAGTTACAGAGGGGTTGGAACATTTGGAGATATGGAATTCATTGCAGACTCTTGCATAACCAAATTCTTTCTATCTGGATTATTGTCACCTGATCTGTTACTTGCTGAAGCCAAAGACTTGGGAAGTATTTCTGATCAGGTCTTCTTTCTCATGCTACACATCACCCTACTACCCAACCCTCATGTTTTACTTCCATTGCTTGTCTTAAAGCCAACCAGTTCACTCCATTTTTATTGCCCACTTCCTAGACCAAGCTTGTATCATTTATAGAGTTTCTCTTTGGGCTTCTGCCTGTCTTTGCTAACTCAATGCTCAACTTATGGCATTCAAATTTAATTGCTACTGCCTGCACAGTTAGGGACATAGCATGCACCCCATACTTCATATCAAGCAGATCAAGTGTTTACTTGAGTATACATCTAATATAATCCTCGGAAAAGCCAGGTGTGTTTCTTGTCTGAAATTTTGGTGATGTGTGTTCAGGTGCTATGCAGAGCACTGACTGTAATGTGTGAATTGCCATGTGTTGAGGTTGTCTTACTTAAGCACCACCTCTTTCTTTAATCCCTAGCCACCTGATCTACCTTTTTATGCCTCTTGATTTTAATCACAGAAAATAAAATTGGAAATACTTGCATCTCTAATATCCCTTTTCCTAGTACACTAACAGAACGTGTATTCAGCTTTGCTTCCAAAATTTGTTTTATAGCTCTGTCAAAATTGTCGATAACAGCAGTTTAGTTCTTTTATGCCCAATAGAGAATTCACCAAAAATTCTCAATTTTAAAATTGAAAAAGCAGAAGTAATTGTATATTCAACATAAACAGTACTTTTAAGTATACAAAGAAACATAAAAAAATTAAAAAACACTTTTCTATTGTTTTGATAGTGGATTAAAAAATTTCAACAACAGCCTCTTAAAAATCTGTGCAACAAGCAATTTGTTTTGTGTCTTGACTTCACAGGAAGTTCCCCTACATGAACTTGACTTGGAGGTTTGACTGAATAAATTATCCCTTGACTTTTGAATTGTTAATCTTGGCTGCATGATATGCAAATCAGACCACACTAACCATGTCCAGAGGCACAGCACTGGGTCAGAAGCTGTATGCAGTTGCTGGCAAAGGATTTCTGTTAGGGGATCAGGACCTTCCGACAGAACGGTAAGTTATCATGCAATTCATGTTGCCAGGTATATAAAGTATAACAAACCTCCTGTTTGTCAGGGGTTTCTTTGACAAGTGGTTTGTGTTCAATTAAGGCTTAAAGTAATGTTTAAATGAACTGTCTGAACTGTTGTTCATATGTACATGTAGGACAGCAAAAGAAACTAAAAGAGAGTCATAGTTCTTTTTTCCTTTAAAGTCGTTTTTAACAAATGTAATGCTTTGTTTTAATCAGCAAATACTAAATTCATTTTATTTAAAGAGGTTGATTATATTTGCTTATGTCAGTAACTTAGATTTCAACAAAAAAGTAATCAGATTTACTTACATATAACTATTTGAAAAAAATTAAAGATTTCTAAATCATATGAAACAATTATCACATATAATATTTCATGTTTAGAAAATAATGTGCTATAGAAAATTTTAAAACTTAAATTTAGCAATTATGTTTATAAATATTGCATTATTCAAGAATATAATTCATTAAGGAAAAATGGAAAATTCCAGAAACCATTGCTACTATACCTTCCAAAACATTTTATAATTGGTGAGATATTTTTAAGAAATTCATAAAAACACAATTTGTTATCTTATAACATTTTAATATTTTGACTTCTGGTATAATTTCTGCAAAACATGAAACATCAAGTGATCAATATTAAATTCTTATATCTTTTCAGTGTGAATATAGCTTTTATTCAAATGGTTTGTTAATGAGAAAAGCAATTTGCTAAAAAATACTAATATTCCTATGTAAATTTGAATTACATGTTTCATTAATTTTCATAATTAATATTATGAATTAATATTTCATAAATGTTCTTTATTGTGATGATTATAAGAAAAAAGTGTAAAAGGTAGTAAACTATCAAATGTTTTTAAGTTTTAAAGACATACATTTTAAAAGGCTGAATGTAAACAAAGAGAAAGAAACAGTATTATCAAGTTAAAATTTAGAACTGATCTGCTTATGTGAGTAAATTGAATATTGCTTGCAGTTTAATAATTTATCACAGGTGTAGGTATATTTTTGAATATATAATTAAGATTTCACTTTAATTGCCAATATCTAAAAATCAAAAACCTGTTAAAAATAATTCAGTAAAATCATATATAACCCATTTATTACAATCTCTCTTTCCTAAAAATTAAAAATCCAACCACCAGAAAGTGGAAGAGAAAAATATTAATTTTTCATGAGAAAATTCCCCTTCAATTGGGAATTTTGCTTAAAGGATTAGCTTATTTCATCAATTTGTAGAATTGAGATGGTCACACTAAAAACACACTGAACTACAAACATCACCCACCTTGGAATCTATAACCTTGGAAATTGTGTCTCCTGGTGATGTTAAACTGGTTTGTAAATATTTATAAAACCACAATTTATTAATATTAAGGAGCTAGGAATGATATTTTTAAATTAAATCTATCAAAACATTTAAAAGCATCATAGTTTTATTAAAATAAATATTACACAGCAGGAGGTTATTCAGATATTAGGAGAGGTAGGTTGGTTTACAGTTTACAGACAATTTTTTACTTCTTGTATCTGCATTTTCTAAATTTACATAACAAAATGTTTTTTTTTAAAAATGAAGTAACCACTCTGAGAAGCAGGACAAGAGTGACTAGTCATTCATTCTATTCATTTTAGTCCTGGTATTGTCTATCCTTACTATCTCCCTAGTCTCCAATCTCCAAAGCAGAATTCTGCATGGCTTCAGCATGGCCCAGAACTTGCCTGAGTGCTAGCTAACTATTGGTCAGCTGCCTTCTAGTTATAGTCCTCATAGCTGTGCTTTTCTTCCATGGCAGTACCTCCTTTCTGCTGCACATAAGCTAGTCACGTAAGTTAGTACAGCACATTGAAGAACTAACTAGGCCAAAAAAAAAAATGAGAGTTATGGCTAGGAAAAGAGGAAATGAAAAAATGAAACAAGTTTTGTGGCTTAAGGAAATTTTCTATTGTCATAATATTCCTTTGAGTGTGCACACCAGCTTTTTGAGTATTCCCAAAATAACAAAGTTGCCCAGAACTGAGCTCTGAAGAATTACAACATTCAAAGTTTGAGCAAACAAGAATTAGATCACAAAACAATCTCTGCAGAGAGAAAGGAGCTCAGCAGGAGACTGCCACACCATGGAAGGGAAGGAGGATGGTGTATCAGGAAGCTGTGGCAGTGAAAGCAGCTGGAAATACTTAGAAATCATAGTGAAAGTTACCATTGGTCTAAAAAGAATAAAGCTTATTATTTTTAAAGAACTTTTTAAAAAGTGTAAAATGTTTATTATATATAAGAATTTTTGATTTTTAATATTATCAAATATATGCTGAAATGGGGAAAGTGGAGAGCCTAGATAAATCAAAAGGGGAAAGCACAGAATAAAAATTATCTGTCATCTTATCACTAAGGATAACATTATTAGTACTTTGGTATATGTCATAGACTTTCTTATGTTTATTAATTTCAGATGTGAATTCCTATGTCTTTAATTATCCTTAATTTTAAAATGTTATCCTAGAAAATATATTTTTTCTCTCTACAAATATGTGTCTAAAACACACCTACCACTAATACAATTACCATTTTTTTACTATTAGTTGTACTACATGCATCATCTGCTTTTATAGTGAAATAGAGCAACTGGCTTAATTCAGTGGACTTACTACTTATTTGCTCATAGAGAAAATATTTATAAAAGTATTTTCTAAACAGTCAAGTATTTATATTTATCTCTCCACTCAGCAAACATGTACAGACCATCCATTTACCTGGAAGTCACTGTGCCAGATATTGAAGATAAACTATGAGGAAGATAAAGTTGAGAGATATTCTGAGAAGCTCAGTGTAAAATGGGAACATAAAATGTGGAGACCCAGCTTAGACTGGAGGGTCAGAGAGCTGATCTTGGGAAACCCACACTTAAGCTGATATCTGAAAGAAGTGTAGATATAAGACACGATATGTGGTGAAGCAAGAACCTCAGGGTGGAATGTCAGTGAAAAGAGATTCAACAAACTGACTATGAGGGAAGTTCTCTGTGCATTCAAAAAACAAGAAGGAAGACGAGCAAGGGCAGTAATGCCAGGTGAGGCTGAAATGGAGTCAGGGGCCAGATCAAGTCCCCATTAAAGATTTGGGAGTTTATTCCTTACACAGTGGAAAGCCAGTTAAGCATTTTTAGTGAGGATAGTAATATGATCAGAATTTCAGTGGTAGTTTGAAAGATTGTTTAGCTGTCATGTTGAAGAGAGACAGAGACGTGTGGAGACCATAGGAGGATATGGGATAGTCCCAGAGAGAGATGACTGATGGTGGCCTGGACTAGAAGGGTGATGGAGGAGTGGAGCAACAGAGATGGCTTTGAGAAATATCCAGACATTATAGCCGATGAGACACTATAGCCATGAGACACTAATTCCATGTTCTCGAACGTGGAATTACTAGGTCGCTGAGTATGGACATTTCACTCATTCTCAATATACAGCCAAAGTACCTTCTAGAAAGCTGTGTTTGATTGTAGTCTAACCAGCTTTATGTGAAAGTGTTTACCATTTTCCTACAATTGTGTATTCTCAGTTAAAAATAGGTTGATAACAATACTATTACAGATATTATTAATTAAATTGAAAATTTAAAAGTCCCCATGTCCCTAAATGTTTAAGATAGTTCCTGTCTTTTTGAATTTTCTCTTTTTCATCCAGTTATCATTGGAGATCTGAATGTATTGGGTTGGCCAAAAAGTTTGTTCGTGTGTGTGGCGGGGGGTGGGGGGGGATAAGATGAATTCTCTAGTAGAGCTTACTTGTTTTTTTTTTAAAATTCCATTCAAAACAGTTTGTTAGATTGTATTGTGACTGATGTCATATAAGCATGCACTAAAAAAAGATAACTTCAAGGACACTCATATTTCTGAGGTAAAATGACCTGGGCATATACTATATTTTGCTGTTCATAATGCACACTTTTTGGTCCAAATTTTTGAGGGAAAAATAAGGATGGACAATATACATGGGAATAATGACTACATACCATGGGCATAATAATGGGTATAATAATCCTGAGTATAACATGCACAAAACGCAGGTACTCATTATATACAGCAAACTTCAGTAGTGCGGCTGTTGATGGAGTTAGGTGGAGGCCAAGCAGAATCAGGAGGGAAAGTGGAGAGTTTAGTACAAAACGTTCGGAGGCACAGGTACCTGTGAGAAATCTATCAGTGGCAGTAAGTATAAACATTAAAGCTTATAATACAGGTCCAGGCTGAAATATGAATTTGAGAGTTGTTAATGTATGGATGATCAGTAAAGCTAGAAAGCAGATGAGATTGTTCATGAAGAGTCTAGATAACGGAGTTCAGTACTGAGCCTTGAGAAATTCCACATTTAACAATCAGGCCAAGAAAGCTTAGGTCACAAAACAGCCTGCAAAGAACAACTAGGCAAAAAGGAGAACTAAGAAAGTGTCATTTCATAGAAGACAAAGGAAGAGAGTGTTTCCAGGAGGCATGGTATAAAAAAGCAGCAGATAAGTCAAGAGAGAAGACTGGTGAAAAATGACCATTGGGTTGAGCAAAGTAGAGGCTATTTTGGTTGAGTGGGGGGTTTAGAAGCCAAATTGGAATAAAGAGAATGAGGTGCTGAGATAGCAAAACTATTTGTGAAGATAGCTCTCTTTGTAAATCAAGCTATGCCAATGAGAGAAACATTTGAAACCAGGGAGAGTTGTTTATGTCCGCTCCTTATTTTTAAGACAGGACAAAGAGTATTTATATTCTGAGAGAAAGGATGTAGCTGAGCTGGAGGAGAAGGCTGAAGAGACAGGAAAGAGGGACTTTGGATAACATAGCAATCTTGAAAATTTGGGAATGCACTGGATCTGGAGTAAGCCCAGATGAGTAGACATTCACTGTTGTCAAAGAAAGGAAGGAGAGGGAGACAGGTACAGATGCAGGAACCAGAGTGGACACACCAAGAACGGGCTCTAACCCCGGGAGCTCAAAGACAAACACAGCTGCTAACGCTGAGTAGGTAGACAAGGTCTGAAAAATTGGAAAAGACATGACCTTGAGAAACGTAACAAATTGCCGGAGACGTGAGAGAGCAGTAGAATGAGATAAGCTCCAAGATGGAGTAAAGCCAATCTGCTCAGCTTCTCAGCAGCATCCACGCGTCTGCTGTCTGAAGAAGCTCCCGTCCAGCTTTGTCCAGAGTTGGACCTAGTGTCAGGTTGCCATGGACAGACTTGAGGAGAGGCTCAGAGGAATTGAGGATGGTTTAAAGAGTGATTTAAAAACAACATCAAAATATTGAATTTGCCATATGTACAATTCCATGAGTTATTTTCATAAGTAAAACACTTTCAAAAGGTGAATAATCCTTAATGGGAATAGACCAAACATCAGTCCATTAAATTTGACGAAAGTAGATTTGTTTTCCAGGTGACTTCATGATAGGGAATTCTGCTCATTGTTTGCATGTTTCCCAGAAAAGCAGTTCAGGTCTATTTGATCTTATGTTGCTCTATTTATTAAAAGACTATATTGAAAGAATCATTTGACTACAATAACCAACACTCAGAGTTCTATTTGACACAGAGATATTTGGAAAATTTTATGTTCAGTCTTGCTTTTTTCCTAACTAGACATAAGTAGGATTCAATATTTAATGATGGCAATCCTGTACATTATGATAAATTCAAGTTTTTTAAGCATTCCACCCAACTACAAATGATCTGGCCTTATTACAAGAGAAAACGTAGCAGGTGAGCAAGATGTCTGAAGTTTGAATGAATCAGAGTGCTTATTTTCATGACCCTTATTCAGAAGATGCTACAATGGAGGTCTTTCACTAGATGTATGACCTGAGGAAGATACCCAATTTTCCAAGTCTAGGTGACTTCAAGTGTAAAATAGAAATAGTAACAGTCCCCACCTCATCACTAAATGAGATACTGCTTGGAAGGTGGTGAGCACAGTGCCTGGCACACTAGAAGCTTTCAGTAAAGAGTTGCTGCAGTTCCTGGCTGGCGTAGCTCAGTGGATTGAGTGCAGGCTGCGAACCAAAGTGTCGCAGGTTCGATTCCCAGTCAGAGTATATGCCTGGGTTGCAGGCCACAGCCCCCAGCAACCGCACATTGATGTTTCTCTCTCTCTCTCTTTCTCCCTTCCTTCCCTCTCTAAAAACAATAAATTAATTAATTAATTAAAAAAAAGAGTTGCTGCAGTTATTATTACTAAAATTTTCAGCTTTATATTTTAAATTCTAAAAAAAATCATATTTCAAAATTGGAGTTGCATTTCACAAATTTAATAAAATAAGCATAATACTTTGACAACATAGAAACAAAGTAAAAGCTATTAGACGATCAAGCCTGGAGTTATAACAATCCTTGTTTCTTCTTCTAGATGATGGTCTAATCCAATTTAACTCAGCAGAATTTGTCAAACAACCGCACTATCCTGGGGAACATGGTAGGTCCTGGAGATTTTCCTCTTAACTTACTTCACTGCATTTTCCATTGGCTTTTTTGCACTTTTTCATATCCTCTATGTGTGTTTCCACCTCATGCCTGAAATACTCTTTATCATTGTACAGGGTGGGAAAAAAGTAGGTATACAGTTGTGAGTACATGAAACCCAGAGTTTATTCCTATTATTTATTGATTATTTTCCATATGAACAATTATAAACCTAAACCCACTTTTGCTCCACCCTGTATGCCATTCACTTAGTTGATAAATTATTTGAGATTAGAAATTTTGCTTACATAAGGTCACCAGTTTGATTCCCAATCAGGGTACATGCCTGGGTTGTGGGCCAGGTCCCCAGTAGGGAGCGCATGAGAGGCAACCACACATTGATGTTTCTCTCCCTCTCTTTCTCTGTCCTTTGCCTCTTCCCCTCTCTCTAAAACTGAGTAAATTATATCTTTTAAAAAATTAAAAAGAAATTGTGTTTAACTCAGTGCTGTTGTCCCTACTGCCTAGCACGGAGTTCAAAGGTATTAATAAATTTTTTTGAAATATTAGAGATATATATGTATGTATACATATGTACCCCCTACTAATGTAAACCACTCTCCATGTAGTTGAACCCTTAAGTGTCATTTTAAATTTTTACTGTTAAATACATGTCTATGTGTTTAACAGTGAAAGTCTATGTCTTCAGTCACAGACTAATATTTCATCTGTACATTTTCTCTCTTTTTCAGGCAAAGAATGCATCTTGCGAAAACTGGCTGGCAGCAGAGGCTGGCCTGCAAAAGTACTACCTTTCCATCTTTTATGGTATTGAGTTCATTGTGGGACTCCTCGGGAATAGCACTGTTGTTTTTGGCTACCTCTTCTGTCTGAAGAGCTGGAATAGCAGTAACATCTATCTCTTTAACCTCTCTATCTCTGACTTGGCTTTCTTGTGCACACTCCCCATGCTGATAAACAGTTACGCCCAGGAAAAATGGACCTATGGAGATGTGCTGTGCATTAGCAACCGATACGTACTTCATGCCAACCTCTACACCAGCATTCTTTTCCTCACTTTCATCAGCATCGATCGCTACCTACTCATGAAACACCCCTTCCGAGAACACCTTCTGCAGAGGAAAGAATTTGCTGTTTTAATCTCTTTGGCCATTTGGGTTTTAGTGACCTTAGAACTTATGCCAATGCTTGTTTTTATAAATAATGCTTCAAATGACAGTAGCACCACATGCAGTGATTATGCAAGTTCTGGGGACGCCAAATACAGCTTCATTTACAGCATGTGTCTAACCTTCCTGGGATTCCTCCTTCCACTTTTTGTGATGTGCTTCTTTTATTTCAAGATCGCTGTCTTCCTAAAGCAGAGGATCAAGCAGCAGGTCACCACTGTGCCCTTGGAAAAGCCTCTCAACTTAGTCATATTGGCAGTTGTGATCTTCTCTGTGCTTTTCACTCCCTACCACATCATGCGGAACATGAGGATTGCTTCCCGCATGGTGGACTGGATGCAGTCCCAGTGCACTCAAGTCATCATCCACTCCTTGTACATCGTGACTCGGCCTTTGGCCTTTCTGAACAGTGTCATCAACCCTGTCTTCTATTTCCTTGTGGGAGATCACTTCAGGGAGATGCTGGTGAATAGACTGAGGCACCACTTCAAATCCCTTACATGCTTTAGAAAATGAGCTAATGGGCTGGTGTTTTCATTCAGAAGAAAACAACGGCCTGTGGAACAGAATGTGTTACACAAGCAACTGTAGGCCAGTGAGAGTTTGATTAACTCATAGTCGTAAATCAGAGAGTGTCACTGATCTGCCCCTGATTTAAAGATCCAGTGTACCCAGAGTACATAAAAAGAAGAAGATGAGAAAAATTTCTTTGTTCACGTACAAATTGAAATTAGTTGCACTAGCATGAATGTTTGGGCATGTAAATCCAAAACCCTAGGTGTAATGATACCTCAATCGGTGTAAGAAGAATAGAAGATGGGTAAAGCAGCAAGCTATCTGCATTTAGTCATTCATCGGTCAGATTTTAAAAAGAAATTGGGCAACATTCTTTATGTTATTCTTATTCATACTATCATAACTTTATGTGATAATTGTATAGCAGATTATACATACATTATAAAATATTGTTCTCAGAAGTTGTGCTCTTAGGAAAATTTAAAATAAACAGTAGCAATAATGAGCAGGAAAGCAATATAACAAATTCAAGGATGTCTATTTATTCCTTTATAGTGATCATGAATTGGGTCAACTTTTAATTTATCAGTCCTTTTTGGTTGTATAGTTTATAGTATAAATAATCACATTAAATAGAGATTTTAACAAAGGAAAATGATTGAACTTGACTGCAAGGAATTTGGATGTAAATAGAGATACCAAGAAAAGTTGCAAAAACCTAGAGTTATAGAACACAAAGTGCCTATCAGGAAACTCAAAACAAGACAAACAGCACAAAAGTGAGTCGACTGTGTGATGATTGTGCCATCTGGCATTTAATTATCACACTTTGATCGTCACTGCATGCAACGATATTAAAGTTTATTAGCTTTGCTGTTCTTGATTAAATAGTAAGCTTTAAAGTATATTAATATCATAAAACCAGCAAATAAAAGGAAGTAAAATGTTAACACCAGCACTTGTTAGGTAACATTCCCTTTTGGAGAGACAATCACAGTTTATCCCCGCTCCCCTATTAATCTGTAAGCACTGGGAAAATTTAAAGGACGACTTTATCTTACAGTCACTCACAACTGGAGAGAGCCCTGTTTCCATAGGACATTGAAGAAGACCATTGGAGGAAACGTGCTGAACAGAACACACTCTGAGAAACTGTAGAATACAAGGAATATTAATGAGCATATCAATATAGATTATGTCAGGAGAGTTAGACACCATTTCATGCCACAAAAAAAAAGTTAGGGGGAAATATTACTACGTTAACTTTTTAAATAATAGTTCACTTATCCTATGCAATAAATGTATCTACGGCCATAAGTCAACATTCTCTTCCTTGATGTCAGTAGTTACAGGGGGTAACACAAAGGATTAAATAAACATAATGAGTGCAGAGGCATAAAACTCCATTGTCCTTCTTGTTCTAAGATACTGTGATACTATTGTACTCTATTACATCCAAAACCCCAAAACATTCCTAGTTAATGCTTTGACACTGCAAGCAACTGAAAAATTATGAAAACGATGCTCACAAAGGATGTATTGTCTAACCTAGAATCAGACTTTTCAGATTTTGTATGCCTTGTCTTTGTTATTAATACTTTAAAATTTCAATGTGATTTTGTAACTGTCTGATAATAAGCTGAAAACAGAATCTTCTGAATTTCCTCATCAGAAAATGCCATTAAAAAAGGCTTTAGAAAAGAAGTATTTGCTTATTTCTGCAAACTTAACATATACTTTCAGCATAATTTGTCATTTATGCATGAGTTTCAATTTGTAAAGATGAAATTAAATTTGCCCACCCGCACCCCAAGCAGTGGCAGGATTAGACTCTTTCCAATAGTACCATGCACTATTTCATAAAACCATTAACTCTTACATTTATCTTGTAACCAAAATGTTAAGTAATTTCATAGCAATTTCTTCATTTGTTTCTTGCTCAAATCTATCATGTGCTAACTTAATCTTTAACAGACTAAACAGACCTGCACTAAAATTATAAGAGCTGTTCCCTTTGCATTTTGTACTAGGTAATCTCAAGAATCACAAACAATAAATAATGGAATTCTTTTTGGGGTTTGTCATTTTCAGAGGAAATAAAGTTGGGTGTTTGTATCTTGTATTTTAATTGCCTCCTTAGTGTCTTCAGAATCATGTCGAAACTATTCGGTCCAGCGTTTTGCCATCTGGACCCTCTTACTCTTCATACATTAGGTCTTGCCATTGTTGTCACAAACAATATCCTCCAGCCAAAGATCGCTACTTTTTTCCTTATACTCAGAAATCTCTTCAGAGTGTGCACATGGATGCTAACCCCCATTGTATCATGCACACACATGAAAAAATTAAGTGTTTTTTAAGGTCTACCACAGCTCTCTCTCCTTAAAACATTCTTTTATACCTTCTCCTCCCCAAGTCTGGAAGTAAATCTGCCTATCTCCGGGGCTTCAAAGTTCTTTTAAGCACTGTTTTTACAAAACACAATACTTTTACCTTATATTATAGTTGTTTAAGTTCAAGACAACTCTAATGTCTAAAATGTCTTAAATGGTTGTTTATTATGAATGAATGTCCTACAGAACAAATTTGAATTCAATATGCCTTGTGAGTGTGCATGATCAAACTATTTTCTGTCCTCACCACTTTGTAAGTGATGCTATTTTATATAAAGTGTCTATGCACAAATATGTGCCAGCTGCCATCGCCCTGTCCCTTATGTTTTCCTCTATACCGCTGAGCACTTTCAATGGATGTTTATACTCTGTTCCAAATCTAGGTCATTTTCAAAGTTGGCCTTCATGGATTGCCTTTTCTCTTAAGGGTCGTAATTGCCTTTTCTCTTGTGGGTCATAATTTCCTGTTTCTTCATGTCTAATAAATTTGGATTGTATTCTGGAGATTATAAATAGTACATTGTGGAGACTCTGTATTTTGTTACATTTTGTAGAAGGGTACTAATATTTTGTTTCATGGCTGAACTGAAACTCCAAATTCTGCAATCTCAATTCAGTTTTTTACCTTTAACTGTGCTGCTTAGAATCTATCCAGACATCCACAGCTCAGAGGTCAGTTAAAGATGTAAGCAGAGTTTATACACAAGAAATGGGGTTTCCTTTCTGGAACTCTCTTTTCTCCAGCTGTTGAGTTCACCCTGAAGTTGTCCTTTGCTTTCTCATGCTAAATAGACTGCAAGTTTCTTTCTGGATTTTAGCAACCCTGCTAAGATGGTAACTTTGAGCCAGCATACCACCATGCTTCTGGCAAGTGTCATCAGAATTCAATCAGTCACTGAGGAATGAGAGCTATTGGCTATAAATATGGAATATGTCAGAATATAAGACAAGTACAATTACATTAAAACAAATATATCTTTTCTTAAACCTGCTTACCACCTTGTGAAAGAGATTTTTCATTATGTTCCTATAACAATGTAGAAAAGTCCTTAGGTTTCCCAGTAGTCAGATCTCTGACTAGATTTAAACATTCAAATTAGTAGGGAAAGTACAAGTTGGTCTTGATTTTAAGCCCACTTTCTTTTTTTTTTAAGGTTTTATTTATTTATTTTTAGAGAGGGAAGGGAAGGAGAAAGAGAGAAACATCAATGTGCGGTTGCTGAGGGCCGTGCCCTGCAACCCAGGTATGTGGCCTGACTGGGACTTGAACCTGCAACACTGGTTCGCAGCCCGTGCTCAAGCCACTGAGCTACGCCAGCCAGGGCTTAAACCCACTTTCTAATCCAGGCTTACCAGTATTGAGTCAAGTGCTTTGATCTTAATTTATTATGGATTCCAGTGGGAATACTCTATACATGAGCATTTTAGAAGGAAAGAAGCAAGACTGGCCAAGTTTCAGGCACCAAATCCCATCCTAAATAGTCACCACAAATGACAGTGACAGAAAACACTATCATTGTAGGTAGCCCTTACAATGTGCCAGGCATGGTTACTGTAGCACATTATATAATTTCATTCATTCAACTCTCACCAAACCCTGTGAGGATTACAGATGAATAAATCAAGGCCTAGGAAGTTTAATCACTTCTCCAAGGTCATACATCTAGTAAATGGTTTAAGTTACCTAAATCAAGAAGCATCATTTCATTAGAATCTTTATGCAGCATCAGGCACAAGCAGCCTAATTTTGTGAGCAGCATTCTCCCCCCACCCACACACGTTACCCCAAGCCCTCATCTATTACAAACTGAGAATAAAGAAGGAAAATTCTCTCACACTTCACCGTGGAACAGTAGGCAATTTTCAGTGATATAATATCCATGGGCAGTGGTGGTGGTCCCCATTAGAACTCCTGATGCCAGATCTAAGTGGAAGTACCCATCAGAAGCACAGTGGTTAGTCAGCTCCGTGTTCGGCAATCCCAGCAGGATGCCCTGAGAAGACACCTACGACAGGAGAAGGAAGCATGAGCATATTTATGAGCATAACTGAGACAGAACCCAAAGGACTTATATAAACACACACCTGGGCTGGATTTCAGATATGCTGAGTAGGTGGTACATGAGCAAAAAAAAAACATTGCTATTCTGTGATTCTATCTGTACTCTCAGATCAGTGGACCTGGAGAAAATCTTGAGATACATATAAAAACTTGATATATAGAGAGATACATGTATGCAGATTTAATACATTCGACTTGCATGATATTAATCATGCAACTATTTGTTTTTTATGTCACACTTTCTCATTAAGCTTTGTCTATGACAACTTAAGCACATGGACACTTGATGTCCACTCAAACTGATTTTAAAGAACTCCTTGCTGCTGTTACACAGGTAATGATAGAAGAGAAACTCAGGCTAACATGGGGAAGAGGAGTGGATAAGGATATCCACTGGTTAGAAGTGAATTGAGGGGATATTCAGTTCCAGATAAGAACAAACTTTCTCTCCTATGACTTTCTGCTAATTCAGTGAGCTGCTGAGAGAAGTAATGTGTTCCCCATCATTGGTTATGCCATGTATTGTTGGAGCTGCTATAAAGAGTGTGCAGGTCTTAGATGGGCCTGGATGAACTCTGGGTTCCCTCCTACCTGGAGGTTCTATTACTGTAGGCATTGCTCCAAGCATAACAGAGTCCTGTTAAAAAGAAAATGTCAAGCTTCAGGCAGCTAAGATTAGTCATAGGAGGAAAATAAAAAACACCTTCTCATCTGTGATGAAAGCACCCTTTCTCATATTCAAATTGGCACTAATAGCGTGTTCAGAGTTCCTTTACACCATTTAAAATTATACAGATGGGATATCAGCTAACACTTAGAGTGCTTACTATTTGCAGGATCTAATGTTTCTGGTAGCTCCATATGAGTTATCATTGGATTCTCTTAACAAATTCACGTGGCAGGTGGTATTATCTTCATATCACTGATGAGAACATCTGTGCACATCAAGGCTAAGCAGCCTGCCCAGGGCTACAGAGTTAGTTAATGAAGAAGAGAGGATTTGAACCTAAATAGTCTGACTCCAGAATCCACAGTTCTACTATGCAATGGAGATGATAATGATAATAATAGAATTAATAGTAGCTACCAAGAGCCAAATGTGTTCTGTTCGTAGAGCTAAATCCTATGCTGTGCTCATAAAACTCATTATCTCCTCTAATCTTATCCACAACCTTAGCAGATACAACTGAGGAGATTAACTCACAGCACAATCTGTATCTTATCTCCACAAATGGTGAATGGATGAGGTTTTAACCTCCTGGGTGTGTATGTATAAGATCCCTGTCCTTCATGCTCTTTATATACTGTATTTTTAGGACTATAAGATGAACTGGGCCATAAGATGCACCTATATTGTAGAGGAGGAAAATGGGATACAAAATTTTGAAGCAAAAAACATGGTAAAATATTTAATAACCTGTGAGTGACCCTGCTCTACTGCCACTCCCCCAGCCCCAGCGAGCCAGGTAAGCTACATTCGGACTGAAAGACACACCCCCATTTTCCTCCCAAATTTGGAGGGGGAGTGCATCTTATAGTCCAAAAAATACGGTAATTTTGTGCAGCTGTGGTCTACCCACCTCATCACCTCAAGTCAGCATTTGTGTTGGTTTGGTCCCACTCTATTTTGCTCTCCCTCTCTTCTAGGAAAACCTGTCTCAGATGTTCATTCACACTGGTGTAACGAACTGGCAGCTCCCCAAAGCAAATCAGCAGATGGGCTTGAGAAGTGACTCGGCCTCGTGGGCTCACTCACCACACTGCTCAGGGTCTCCTTGAAGAGATTTTGGACCAGTTACTGTGCAGCCGTAGCTTTCAGGGGGAGTTATTAGCATTTATTAAAACTCCAAACTCTAACCTGAAGGAAAACAAAAATCGTGTGAGATTTTAGGTATAATCCTATTTTTTATTTTTATTTTTTCAACACCACAGAATATATAACAGGTTAGCATTTTGACAAGTTATTACCTATAAACTAGCTCTAATTGGAAAATTTATTTTCACTCTTACCTTAATAAGACTTGATGATTATGTATGAAGTTTCTTTAGTCATTTTTCCTTTTTGTCCTCCTTTCGCACTCTGTTTTTAATAACTAAGCTCAGTCAAGATAATTTAAAGGTCTACCGTCCAGATGTTGCATTTCATGAAAAATAATAAAAGAAAACAGAGTTCTCATTATTCTCTTAGTGTAATTCCAGAAGCCAAAGTATTGATAACTCCTTACAGAAAAAGCAGAGTCCCACGGAGACTTTAGGGGCTGGAGCGACCATTACTGCTATCCTGGCCGTGCCGAATACACAAGGAAAACTGCTGATAAGCCTTTCTATTTTACCTTTAATATGTGTTCTTTTACAAAAAGAAATGATGTTGAGTAATAATCTGTTTTGAAAAAAACCTTTCTTTCTAATTATCTTCACATTAACTTTTCCATGTCATGACTCATGACCTTCTCACGACCCTGAATTTCCTGGTTTTGTTGACTCAGAGCAATTACACAGGGCAGTTCTATGCATATCTTAGAATCTCAATAAGTAAAACTGTCTCAACTGACAGTGCCAAAGATGATGAGTGAGACTGATAAGGAAGATAAAAAATGTGAATGTATGAACATTTGCACCATCTGTGCCCCTGGGTGAGGCGATGCCACAGGCAGTGCTGTGTGGAATGGAATACAGATAAAATCCAAAGTAGATGATGTTTTAACAACAGATGTTCCTTTCTGGGAAAGCTCTTACTGCAATATTAAAATTAATTTGCATCCTTTAAGACAAACAGACTGCATAGACACCTGTGTATTATATTAGATGAAGATAAGAAATTGCTTCAGGATTTCTAATAATTCATCTTAACTAACACATAGACACACTTTTGTAAAAATTAAGAATTGCTGTATGTATTTCCATAGATTAGATATCATATATCTTAATTTCTACATCATTAAGGAAGTCCAAAATAATCGATTTTTACATTCACTAAAAACTCTAGCTTTAGACACTACACCAAGAGAAGAGCTAACAGTGAAGTACAGACATGAGGTTCAAATTCAAGACAGGAGTTAAGTCACAATATCAAAAGAAAACTAAGGTCAGGATGATAGCAAGAAATCGGATCAGATCACTGGAAAGGAGTAGGGAGGGGCCATAGGAGGAGATTGCCCGAGGCAATGGTAAACCACCTAGGATGGGATTGGCTGAGAAGCTGAAGAATACCTCCAGAGTGCATGGAATTATGGGCCAGAAAGTTTAAAATAAAAGGAGGCAGAGACAGGCTCTCTGGCTCTCTTCCTCAAGAGTGCCTGGATGACTGTGCTGCAGCTGTCTGAGGACAGTATTTCGGACGGTAGAAGGAATTCCTAGGATTCCACTGGCCTGGCAGAGAATGTCAGAGTTATTCTTCTCTGGGTGT